TTTTACAAATAGGGATAATTATTAGGACCAAAAACCTTCCTTTCCTGAGCAATTTCAACTGTAGGCACTCATTTTTATTTTTGTTTCAATTAAAACTTTCAAATGATTTTTTAATATTCAGTAAGGGATGCATGTGAAAGTAGATGCTGTCTTCGCTGCCCATTTGAGTGTAGTGAGTCGACAGGCGCATCAAAAGACTAAATCAGTCACCGACTAAAATTTGGTACTGTCCACTTGGCATCATCTAGCTGTAGCATCTTATGAAATAAATATCTGGAAAAGTCAACGCATCGTCACATCTACATTTTATAACTTCAGGATAATTTAAGGTGACTCAAGTAAGATGAGAGGAAGAAATGCAGAGAGTCATTTTAGTTAAAAATTCTTTGAAGTAAAATGTTGTCACATAGAGGTAGCATCTTTCTTTCTTGTTTCAACTTTTATTTTAGACACAGCGGGTACCTGTGCCTGTTCGTTACACAGCATACTGCACCCAGGTGGTGAACACAGTACCTAAGAGGTACTTCTCCAACCCACGCCCCTCTCTAGTGTCCACAGTGTCGACTGTTCCCATGTTTATGTCCCTGTGTGCTCAATGTTTAGCTCCCACTCACAAGTGAGAACATGTGGTACAAAGTTTTCTGTCCCTGCATTGATTCATTCAGGTTTGTGGCCTCCAGCACCATCCCTGTTACTGCAAATGACATGATTTTATTCTTTTTATGGCTGCATAGTATTACACAGTGTCTGTGTACCGCATTTTCTTTATCTAATCCACCACTGATGGGCGCCTAGTTGATTCTGTGTCTCTGCTACTGTGAAGAGCATGGTGATGAGCATACGAGTGCATGTGTCTTTCTGGCACAACGATCTATTTTCATTTGGGTAAATACTCAGTAACAGGACTGTTGGGTCTAATGGTAGCTCTATTTAATGTGCCTTGAGAAAGTTTCAAGCTACTATGCAGTGGCTGAACTAATTTGCGTTTCCACCAAGAATATATAAGTGTTCCCTTTTCTCCACAGCCTCTCCAGCATCTGCTGTTTTTGGCTTTTTAATAGTAGCCATTCAGACGGGTGTGAGAAACTGTCTCACTGTGGTTTTGCTTTGCAGTTCTCTGGTGATTAGTGATGTTGAGCATTTTGTCACGTGATTGTTGGCCACTTGTATGTCTTCTTTTGAGAAGTGTCTGTTCATGTTCTTTACCCATTTTTAATGGGGTTTTTTGTGGTTTGCTTGTGGATGTAGTTGTTCCTTACAGATGTCAGATATTAGGCCTTTGTCATCTGACATAGTTTGTGAATATCTTCTCCTATTCTGTAGGTTGTCTGTCTGCTCCATTGATGGTTTCTTTTGCTGTGCAGAAGCTCTTGACTTTAATTAGGTCCCACTTGTCTATTTTTGTTTTTGTTGCAATTGCTTTTGGAGACCTAGCCAAAAAAATATTTGCCAAGGTCAGTGTTGAAAAGGGTATTTCCTAGGTTTTCTTCTTAAATTTTTATAGTTTGACATCTTACATTTGCATCTTTAATCCATCTTACATTAATTTTTGTATATGGCAAAAGGTATGGGTCTAGTTTCATTCTTCTGTGAATAGCTCGGCCATTATCCCAGTACCATTTCCCCATTGCTTGCTCGCATTGGCCTTGTCAAAGATTAGATGGTTGTAGGCGTGTGGCTGTATTTCTGAGTTTTCTATTGTGTTCCACTGGTCTGTGTGTCTGTTTTTACACCAGTACCAAGCTATTTTGGTTACTGTAGCCTTATAGTGTACTTTGAAGTCAGGTAGAGTGTAACCTCTGGCTTTGTTCATTTTGCTTAGGATTGCTTTGGCTATTTGGACTCCTTTTTGATTCCGTAGAAATTTTGGAGTCATTTTTTTTCTAACTCTGTAAAGAATTACATTGGTAGTTTGATAGGAATAGAATTGAATCTGTAGATTGCTTTGGGCAGTATGGCCATTTTAACAACATTGATTCTTCCAATCCATGAACATGGGACACTTCTCTGTTTATTTGTGTCATCTCTGATTCCTTTCAGTAGTGTTTCATAGTTCTCCTTGTGGAGATCGTTCGTCTCCTTGGTGAGCTCTGTTCCTGGGTATTTCCTTTTCTTTGTGGCTACTGTGAATGGGATTATCTGCTTGATTGACGGTCAGCCTGGATGTTAGTGGTATATAGAGATGCTGGGGTAGCATTTTCTAATTGATAAGATGCTGAGCTCTCCCAGACAAACACATCGTTGATGGCAGTCGAGGCTCTTTGTGGACATTGGGCAGCCTCAGTCTCCACATCTGTGAGGTGGGCATGTGGTAGCATCTTACAGGGTGGTGGAGGTCTAGATGCAATTCTGTTGGAGGATGCTGTGAACACAGTGTAGCGAGAGTCATGGTGAGAGGAGCTTGTGACGAGAAGTCTCTGTCTGGGCGTGAACGGAAGCTCCTGCCTCACCTCTGCGCCCACACTCCTGAGCATCGCCCTCACCAAAGCTGAGGGCAAGGTTGCCAGCCAGCCTAGGCCAGCTGCAGTTGTTTGTTCCATTGACTTGTGTTATTCCTTTAATTTTTTTAGGAATTGAAATTTCCTCATTTCAAAACAAAAGTATTATTATTATTTTTTTAATTTATGTGGGCAATGATTTTTTTTCCCTAAACCAGTGGCTAGCCCTCACCAGTAAAAACGAAACCCCATATTATTATTTCATTTCTCCTACAATTGTTCTACTATTTCTCAACAAAATTGTAAATGATGTAAAATCACAACCTTTAGTTCATATCCAGAGTATCACAAACTGCAAACTGATGGTTGCTCAGGGTGGCTCAGGGTGCTCACTGCACAGGGCCAGTGGGGGTGTCCTCACAACCTCTGCTGTCTGCCTCTGGTTGACTCCCTTGCAGCCCCATGGTGGTCTCTCTCAAAAGCCCTGGCGTGGGCCTTGCTCAGAGCAGCAGCCACTACCCACCCCGCCCTGTGCTGCTGGGCTCCCTAGAGGAGGGGCGTTCCCAAAGGAGAGAGAAGGGAGGGGCACACTGATGGACACTCAGACGTGCTTCTCAGGGGCAGCTGTGCCCCACCAGCCATGGGACCACTCTGGGTGGCTTTGCTCATTCAGATTAGCAAAACACAGTCATAATATCAGCAGATGACTGTTGTATTTCATGGGTTTTGTGGGTGTGGATTTGAGCCTCTGGTTCATGTACGGGAATCTGGGTGTAAAGCGGTCACTTGCTTGGGGAATTCTCTGTAGCTTTTGGCAGAGGCTGAGACGAAGACAGTGTGGCCAACTCCCGCCCTGGGTACTGTCCTCAGTGCTTCCTCTGCAGGGGCCTGTGCATTACAGAATCACCAATAACACACCTCTTCCCCATGTCCTGAGAGCTTTCAGTCCCAAACCAAACCTTATCGATGATGACCGCTTCTTTTTTTCCTTTGTATCCGAATCCAGGGCAGTTTCTTAGCATTAGCTCATAATGACCGTATCAGCAATGTGAGAAAGCTTTTTGCTTCACTTAGCTTTGTTCTCTTCTTCCTCTGTGGGGAGGAGTCCCTGGGGAAGCCTGGTTCCAGGCTCAGAGCTGCTGCTGATGGCACGGAAGACACCGCGGGAGCCATGACTGCCTGCGAGGTCTCCCTTTCCTTGTAGCAGCAGATAAAACCACAGTTTCCGTTGGAATTAGGCAGCCTGGAGCTTTGCTGATTAGGAGTAGGGCAGCCCTAAGCACCAGCAGAACCCGGGCTGGAATGTCTCTAGCCTATCACCAAGTCCTCCCAGCTGCACTCACGCTGCTCCCAGGGAAGCAGGCAGGAATGTCTTGGGGAAGAAGTTGCTTCCTAAAGGGAGGGACTCACTGACAGAGGGATTTAGGACATGAGAGAGACCAGGTCCACCCCTGAGTAACTCTTCACTCTGCTGGATTCCAAGTGAAATGTCTGGCCATGCACAAATGATGTCCTGTGACATTAACTGGCAGGGATAACAATTAATAAAGAAGGACCCATCAGATAAATCCTGGACTGAAACATTTTCATGTACTAAAGGAGATTTTTAACAGCTCTAACAAATAACCCTTGCCCCTCAGTGCCGGCTTGGCTGTTAGTGAGTGTGGTGGCTCAGAAAGGATTACCGGGCAGTGGGAATCGTGTCAGTGAGGGTCAGTGCAGGGAACAGAGAGGCCGTGGCTATGAAAGGGGCAGCTGCACAGGTGCCCCACATGTCTGCCTGCCACCGAGTGGCCACTCAGGTGTTCCGACATTTATCCTGAGCGTATTCTCTACGTGCATTTCCCCCTTTCACTCCCATGGCCGGTATCAGCATTCTAGAAAAAAAGAATGTTGGACTCACCCTGTCTGGTCTGCAGGCCCAGCCAGAAATCCACTTCCCAAAGCACGTGGTCCCCACAGGCCCGGCAGGTGGCCCCCAGGTCCCCTTGAATCCTGGTCACCTGCACAGAGGACCCGGGCCCCAGGAGGCTGCCACAGCCCCTGTGGCTCAAAGGAACAGCCCACTTCTTGACAGATGAGAGACTGGATCCAGGTCGGGTCACCAAAAGTGCTCGTGAGCCCTCATGTGCGGGGGAGGAGCCCCACCCACTCTTAGGGCCTCCACAGGGGTTTGACTGGGCTGGAATTCCCGGTCACTTGCCTACACTCTGTGGTTCCTGAAAGCTAGCCAGCCCTGTGTCTGTCTTTCCAGGGACCAGGTAACTGTCTGTGCTGGGTGCGAGGTGCAGCCTTTCCAACAGGTGATGAATGCTCCTCCAGGGCAAAAAAAAAAAAATAAGAAAAAGGGGAAAAAGTAGAAAAAAAGGAAAGGAGCCAGAGGGTTTTGTTTTGTTTTCGTTTGCCTGTTGTTTGTTTTCTTTACACCAAAGCCCCGGCACCCTGAGGGCCGTCCCACGCGGCTGTGTGTGGCTAAGGCCGGGGCGGGCAGGCCCTGCCATGTGCTGTCTGCCGTGTGCCCTGCGGCCGGGGCCTGAGTCATCCCTGTCCCTGTCTCCCCAGCGAAGCGGTACTGCAAGGACCCCAGCCCCAGCAGCAGCAGCACCAGCAGCTACGCGCCCAGCAGCAGCAGCAACCTGAGCTGCGGCGGGGGCAGCAGCGCCAGCAGCACCTGCAGCAAGAGCAGCTTCGACTACACGCACGACATGGAGGCGGCCCACATGGCGGCCACCGCCATCCTCAACCTGTCCACGCGCTGCCGCGAGATGCCGCAGAACCTGAGCACCAAGCCGCAGGACCTGTGCGCCACGCGGGTACACGCGCCCGGGCAGGTGGGGCCCCTGGCGGGTGGGGGAGGCGGGCCGCGGGCCCAGCCGCCGAGACACGCGGCGCTTTCAGGCAGCTCTATGGTGCGAACGCCCTGATCTCCTAAACCATTCCTGCCACTGTGAACAATCAGTGCAGCTCCCCTTAAAGCAGCCTGAACAGCACCGTTGTCCAAAGCGCATCCATCTTCTCCATCAGAGGCAAGGGTCAGATCTTGTAAATTAATGTGCATCAGTGGATCCTTCTCTCCAGGATCCAGAAGCATTTCTGTAAACCCAGAACAGCACGTGGTCCTCCTGTGGTCTCCAGTGACCACACAGAGGATGCACAACGCAGCGTGGACCTCCCTTGAACTTTGACAGGAAGCTCTGCTAGCACCGTTGCCAAGTGAAATGCAGGCATCTGCCCGTGGATTCCTGGGTAGCAGGGAAACAAAGGAAGTAAAAATCAGGCTTCACACCAAGGGATCAGCCGTGTATTTACAGCCAGCACTCGTTAGTTCCACATTTGCATGGGTGCTGTAGTGCTATGAAAGGCATAGGAAGAGTGTCTATTTTTAATTTTCTTATCAATTGAACCAGTGCTTCTGCTGGGCGGGAGAGAGAGCCTTTAGGATGCAGCACAGACCTGGGAGAGCCGCCTCGCCGAGGCCACTAGGCGGCCGGGGAGAACCGGGCGGTGCAGGGAGCGGTCTGTGTTCTCAGAGACGCTGAGCAGCGGACACGTTCACCTCCTCTCCCGATAAACAAAGAGCTCTCCACGGTGCAGCGCTGCCTGGCCATGCACCTGAGTGCACAGCGCTGACAGTGGTTCTTGTAAATACTTGTAGTTGGTATGAATGAAGAAAGGTCAGTAATCTTACGTTCTGCAAATGTTTTTTCTTCTATCAGTATATTTAGTCCTAGATATTGGAGAAGCGTCAGGGGCCTGCAGTTTTCATGGTGACCAAGGTTGCAAAAATGCAAGGTTAGCATGAAAGAGATTCTGTGGCAACCACAAAAAAAAAAAAAAAAAAAAAAAGAAAAAAAAAAAAAGCAGAGACCCTTTCCAAATTTTGTTGCACTTTCTTAAAATTAAACTAAGACTGAGAGAATAAATCCAACATTCTGAAACTTAAATTAATATCCGAACTTCAAATCAGAGTGCACTTTGACAAAGAGAGTTCAGGCAGAATGATTCTGTATAATTTATCAAGGTAACAGCTCCAGGGATGGTGGTCTCATTCCAAGCATCTTCCTTCTACTGTTGCGTTGAGAGGAGAGAGCTGCTAGACCTTTGAGGAGGCAGCAGCTTTCAGACCAGCTCTGAAATCAAATTTTGCTCAAAAGAGTGTCACTCTTTGGGGAAAAACATGCAGGATTGTTAGGGATATTTTGATTTTTTTTTTTTAAACTTTCTGTCCACGTGTCCCTTCTTCTCACTTTCTCCCTGAGAGGCAAGTGCTGCAGAATTCTTGATGCATTTCAAAGCATCCTTTAAAAAATCCAAAAAGCCTCACCCTGGACCTCGTTGTTGTTGTTGTTGTTGTTGTTGTTTAAGCCAGTAGACTAAATTGCAGGTTTGCTGAAATTTAGAGGAGATCAGATGGTAATCACTGTAGTAAAGGTATTTTTAGCTGCAACTGCAGATGTCCTTTCTTAAAATGAAAAATTATCTTCATCATAAAAGTTCTTATTACAGCCAGGCCCAGTGGCTCACACCTGTAATCCCAGCACTTTGGTAGGCTGAGGCGGCCGGATCACTTGAGGTCAGGAGTTTGAGACCAGCCTGGCCAACATATAGTGAAACCCCACCTCTACTAAAAAATACAAAAATTAACTGGGCATGGTGGCGCAAACCTGTAGTCCCAGCTACTTGGGAAACTGAGACAGGAGAATTGCTTGAACCTGGGAGGTGAAAGTTGCAGTGAGCCCAGGCCGTGCCACTGCACTCCAGCCTGGGTAACAGAGCAAGACTCTGTCCCTCAAAAAAAAAAATTATATTACAAGGTAAATTTTAGTTTCTTCTCTTTCTTTCCTTCACCCTTCTAATTCTTTTGTTATCCTACTCCCTAATTCTTGAACTATTAGCATCAATAAAACTAAAAGAGAATTTTTAAGCTGATATATATATGTGTTTATACACACACATACATACATACATGCACATACATGTATATACACACATGCATACACGCAAAATTTTTATCTCTTAGGTGTTTGTAACTGTAATAAAATTAAAACTAAACACTTTGTAATTTTATTCTGAACAAACTCTAAATCAGAGATATAATAGGACAACAAGGAAGGAGAGAGAGAGGATAGACAGTAGATAAATAGGGAAATGGAGGGAGGGAGGGAGGGTGGGAGCGATGCCTGGATTCTCCAACCAATTTTGCAGCTAAGCATGGGATAGCAGGAATGTACCAAAAGACCAGGACTGTTCACCTTGGGAGTTCAGGCCAAGGAAACAGCAGTGAGGAATTCCGTGTTTGAACGTTCCCCTGGCTGATGGCAAGACTGCAGTCTGGGAGGAAGGACCCGTGGTGTTACAAGGTGCCAGGCCAAGCACAGTCACCATGTCTTTCTGCCAACAGAACCCTGACATGGAGGTGGATGAGAACGGGACCCTGGACCTCAGCATGAACAAGCAGAGGCCGCGGGACAGCTGCTGCCCCATCCTGACCCCCCTGGAGCCCATGTCCCCCCAGCAGCAGGCAGTGATGAACAACCGGTGTTTCCAGCTGGGCGAGGGCGACTGCTGGGACTTGCCCGTAGACTACACCAAAATGAAACCCCGGAGGATAGACGAGGACGAGTCCAAAGACATTACTGTATGTCCTTTTCATTGAGCCTGTGTTGACTGCCAGACTTTAAAATGGGGCCCCAGCTGAAACAAGTGCCATTTGCACATACCTTATGAGAAAATATATTTTCTCTTTAAATATGACCTTTAACTGAGGAGACTTAGAAAACAGTTTTTGTTGACCCAGAAGAGATTTGTGACTAACACTGATTAGAGTGAAACTATTGACTCTTGTAAATGATAAAGTTTATTTTCTAACAAATATGTTTTGTTACAAATGATTACTTTAAGAAAACATATAAATAGCATGTGATTCATTTTTCTGGGTGTCCTGTTGGAACAATACTGGATTTTCCTTGCTGGTAGAGAATTTTAATAGGAGTCTTAGATACTTAAATGGTTAACTGTGTGCTGTTAATTAACTAGCTCTTCGAAACTAAGGACAGTGTCCCTTCTCTAAGAAACCTAAAGTATTCAAAAGAGTTTACTCTAGCCTTGAATAAATTATTCTAGTACCATCACCTAAATCTTTGTTTATGACTATATTACTAAAACATCTATGTCAAGAACATATTTTTGAAGTAGCTACAGTGTTCAAATTCAGGTTATTAAAATAGATATAATGCCCTTTAGGCTTTGAAAAGAAATAAAGAAAAATGTTTTCTTTATGTACTGACTTAAAAGTCTTTGATTCTGAGAACTATGACATCCTCTTTATTCACTGAAAAATGAAATTTATTTTTAGTACAATGGAGAGACCACCATCAAAGCACTAGTGTCTTACAGAAACAAGGAAATAGAAAAAAAAAAAAAAAAGAAAGAAAGAAACATTAGCCCCATGTAGAAATTGGCAGAGAGGGCACCTGCTTATAAGCCTGTTATCTGCATTCTTCAAATTGATTTCAGTATCCAGGCGTTGTGAAAAAGAACCAAATCAGAGTGGCAAGCTAAATGTCTAAGTATTTTTTTCTCCTGCAGTGTTGAATCATTACTACCAAATAAGGCATGGTGGTTGAATCTCCAAATTTATTTTAGTTGAAAGTAAGCCCTCATAAAATGACAGAAGTGTTTTCATCCTGGATCGTCATGGAAGACAGACCTTCCCATGTAGCTAGACTTAGGAAGTGTGTCTGCTGAGCATCGCCACCTGTGGAAACATCCACGTTACTGCAGGTGAACGCACAACTGAAAAGGAAATTTACAGTTACTTTCCCCTAAATTGGTCTCCATTACCCCGAATCTTAAAGCCGGTGCTTGCAAAATCCTGACCAATGGTGGGGGAAAGCTCAGCCCTAATACACTGTAGTTCCAGTGTTGAATCTTGCAGGCGAGTGTTGGATAAAGCAGCCCACCCACAGGTGTGTGCTGAATGCTGAATGAAGAAGACCAAGTTAAACGTAGTCTCTGGCTGCCGGACCGTGTGTGTGTCCATGTGGTGAGCACGGCCAGGTGAATGTTGAATAAGGGCCCTGACCACTGACAGGTGACCATCATTTTAGTTTAGAGCAGTGGAAGAAAAGCTCAATATGCGTTTTCAGAAGGGGCATTATCAGGACAAAGAGGATCTTAAAGGTACAGCAGAAAGAGGTGTAAGATCAGAGGCCACCCCAGAGCCACGAACCGCCTCCCTCAGTCTGTGCGCCGTGTGATCATCCGTGTGGCTCTGAAGCTGTGTTTTGCCCACAGCCAGAAGACTTGGACCCATTCCAGGAGGCTCTAGAAGAAAGACGGTATCCCGGGGAGGTGACCATCCCAAGTCCCAAACCCAAGTACCCTCAGTGCAAGGAGAGCAAAAAGGATTTAATAACGTAAGCATGCTGTGAGGTGAAATTATGAATCTTCTTAATCTTCCCATTCTTGGCTGATTTTTAAAAACCGGATCTGTATCTGCCTTGCCGTTTGAGCATGCGACATTCGCAGCGTACAAATGTTTCCGATTGCCGGGTCAGTAGAGTGAGCAGCTCACCGTGCACTTGCCTGTTCCCAGTGACGCTCTGTTGGACGGGGGCGTCATTTTCATTTAACCCGTGCATTTTGCCGCTTTTCTTCAGGGTGCTTAAATCCCCTTGCAGACATTGCAGCTAAACTGGAAACAATGAAACTTTTTTAAAAGTTTTTTTTTTAAAACATACTTACTATTTTGGCTGTTTTTGTTTTTGTTTGGTGGCAGATGTCCAACTCCAGGGTGTGATGGGAGTGGTCATGTGACTGGTAATTACGCCTCACACAGAAGGTGTGACTTCATTTTTCTCATGGTGGATTCTGTCTTTTCAATTTATTGTTTTCAGCTTACCTCAACAATGCTGTCAAAGTAAAAATGTTGAATTCTGTGTCAACCCTTTAAGTGCTATATGTTGACCTTCAAAAGCATGCTAATTTATGTGTTGTATAATGTCTTTTATCTTCAAATAAACAACCTAAATTTGCAAAATTCTTCTTAAGCATTTAAGCCAAAGAGCACAAATGTTTTATCTTATTTTTTAAACAATTTCTTATTAACAGAAACATTTTCTTAAATTTATATTCGAACCAATTCAGAATTAATTATGCAAAAAAAAATTCAATATACAGCACTTGCCCATTGCTTTTCTGCATTAAACTCTTTAATTTTGGTTTTTATGTTGTGTTTGTTCGGGAGTTATGTGCTTCGCGGTTGACTGACCTGCCTGTCCCGGCCTGTCTTACAGTCTATCTGGCTGCCCCCTGGCGGACAAAAGCATTCGAAGTATGCTGGCCACCAGCTCCCAAGAACTCAAGTAAGATTTAATGACAATAATTCTCTTTTAAAAATCCATGCACTCAGTAGTTCACAAAAAAAAATGATGTGTCATTTGCAAAGAAAAATGTCTGTTAAAAAACATGGCCTGTGCACCCCAGTGCCTTGATATAGAAACGTGATTGAGTCCTCGGAATTTCAGCCACTTTTCCACACAACCCATTCTGCCTTTTCCCCTGACATACCTCCAGCTTGTTCATGTCATATCCTTCCTATCTGGAATTTCCTAAAGCATGAGTGTTTTCTCCAGATATGCATGCATATGGAAGGGAAATTTTACAGTTACTCAAATTTTTAGAAAATGACTAAATAATCAACATTTAATTTTTAAAATAAATTCATAGGAGTATTTACAATATGGATACTTAAGTAGCACTCATGACAAAATCTACCATCATAATAGCTATTTTCTTAAATACACCGTGGTCTTAGTCATGAATACTCTTTAGGACAGTGTCAGTTCGCGGTTCAGGGATCCGGAGAGTCGTGGAATTCAACCAGACACACCTCATTCTAGAGTTTTACCTCCCTCTTCTCTATGCCTGTCATTTTTAAGCATAAATCTGGCAAAAGGGTGAAACACCTACATTTATACTGCCACACTGAGATTTCCCTCCTTCGCCTAGACATCTCTAGATGCAGGGCCAGACAGGTTCGGAAGAAGCGGGTAGAAGTCACGGAGGGAGTCTCAAAGCCTCCGCACTCCAGGGACAGCATAGGTGCAGGTGCACACAAGGAAAGAGGGCGAGACCTGGGAGATGCTCACAGTGCGATAAGAGCCAAGAGTCCCCAGATAATCGCTTTAAATTATTGGACATGCCATATCATTATGTCAAATTGCTTGGTTTTCCTTTTGTTTGGAAAAAGCATTGTTATCCACGCAAAGAGAATGCTGCTTTTCAACCCACATTTGATCTCTTTCCCAGTCATCACATTTGATCTCTTTCCCAGTCATCCCTCCCCACCTCCCAGACCCCTGACGATAGACCAGGACTATTGCAAAGTGTAGGCTTCTGTTTCACACCCATGTCGTCTTTTACAGGATCCCTGTCCAAGGCCCTAGGGCCATAGATCACCTGCTTATGTTCAGTGACTTCCTGAACTAGCTCTTTCGCTACAAGACCCTTGGAACTTTCTTCATGGAATGTAAACGCCTGGAGGGCTTCCTCTTACCTAACGGCTGTAAAGTCTGTAGCCTCATCCAAAACAGTTCCTCATGGACAAAGTAGCTTTAGGATCTCAAAACGACAGCATTAGCAAGAGCAATTCAACCCACTTTGTTCAGGCATCTTTTGTATGGCTGGAAACCACATTTCCCTCATGGTCAAAACATGACTCACTCCCCTGGGAACTTGGCCAAAACATCAGAACATGGCAACATTCCTTTGAATTTCTTGATGAGGGACACTTTGCAAAAGATTGGCACATCTCCAGTTCCAACAGGCCAGCTGTAGACAGGAAAACAGCCTCTGTACAAGTTGCTCCTAGTGTTGCCTCTAACTGGTCAGAGACTGCAGGAATTCGTTCTCTTTGGCTTGCATCCCTTCACGCTGGGCTTGGCGGCTTATGTTGATTTGAAATTCCAGGCCAGCTTGCTGTTTCTCCAGCATCAGCACTTTCTTCTTCTCTTACTTCATCTTGCAAGACGGTGTGATGGTCCCCACCTTTAGCATTTTCCGAGGGAGCCGGTTAGCTCTTCGTGCCTTCCAGGGCAGGGTGGGCATGGGCAGCCCCTCCTTCCTGCCTTGTCTTGGAGGGGAGACTGTGTCTTCCAGGAGGTGGATGGCCTTTTCCTAATTGTGGTTGCTCAAAAAGCCACACTCGTGTCTAAACTTACCTTTGCAAAAAGTAAATCCTATTCTGATAGAGCCTTTCTGGGAAATCTGAACTGGACTGATTTTCTTAAATGGTCCTTTTCTATGAATGGATCTTCAAAACTAAGAATTTCAATCAAGCATCTTCTGTAAAAATACTAATGTTTCAATGACCAAATTTTACTTGATGGTATAACCATAGGTTATAATTTCTTTTCTTTAACCTTGTAATTGGTGACACCCTTTATCTGTTACCTGTTGGATCTGGGTCAGCAAGATCTGTTGGGTGGGTTTCTCAAGCCCAGGAACATGGACTGAGCCCCTCATGACTTGCAACAACTTTGTTTAGAATAATTCGCGCATGAGTCCTTTTTAATATTCTTTGTGTATATTTTCAAGGGTTTGGTCAATTTGTCCTGCAGCAGCAGCATCCCTGATTAACAGCATGACGTTAAACCATTCACTGTATCCTGCCACAACCTCTAATCATTCATAAACACATGGTAGAAAGTGGGCCCCAATTACCTCCAAAACTCTTCTCTACGTGTCAGCTAACAAATGGAACTTTCTGGAAATTTTCTTCTTGTCACTTCCAACGCTGAATTGTGATATTTGGCCTTTAACAGGACATTCTTGATCATGGACAAAGCAAATTTTCCAGATAAACTCTCGCTCTTGGATCCTCTAAGCTCTTAAACTTCCTGAGATAACACTTTGCCTGGTTCTTACCCAGAGCAGCAAACGTGGGACGTTTCGAAAAGAAAATTCATAACCTCATGTCTAATTATGTGTAACATGTAAACTGAAACTGGATTAAAATTTAATGTGCACCTGAATCTTACTCCAACTCTGGGACTGTTGCTTTCTTTGCTCTGTAGCCTATCTGGTGTTGAAGACAGTTCAGAGGCTCAGACGTCAGGAAGGAAGCCCCCAGGTTGGGACCGAAAGCCTCTGTGCCTGGCAGACTTTTGCGCATCGATGCTTCAAGGTGGAATTCACCGTCACCTTGTATGCCCTTTCTAGGAGCCGACCTCCCAGGGTCGCCGTGAGCCCTGCCTGGCTGTGACATTCACTGAGATCACAGGCCAAAAAACAAAAAAGAATACATTTGTGCAGATTAGAGTTTTTGGGGGATGAGAACTCTGCCCACCATGAGCTCTGATTCCCTGTAAGGTTTCTTCTCGTGACATTTCATTTGCTAGGATTCCCTGAAACAAACAGCAGGAAAGAGCTTGCAAAACCTATCGCAGCTGGTCAGCCTTTCCTTTTTCTTTTTCTTTTTCATTGTCTTAGGGAACCGTATTCTCCCAGCCAGGAATTATTTTTTTCTGCTTCCAGATGTGTGTGCCTTTGTAGACATGGGCATGGTGTAGGTATAACCAAAGTAAGCCAAATACAAACTGATTTCGATCACAGGGAAGTGGCTCTGAAGAGGAGCCCACGAATCGGCTTGCATTTATGCTTTGGTTGGCCAAATTAAGATTCCTCCTTACTATCCTCGCCTTTATCTTACAATACCATGAGTCCCGACATTATGTAGCTCCTTGTAGGAAAAAGAACCTTGGGCTACTTGTTGGTTTTCCTGGAGTCTGAGCGTGGCCTGAGTCATCCCGGCAGTGAGCAGGTTGTACTTTTGGTCCCTCGGCCTTCGCGACGGTCGCGTACGCTCTGTAATCTCTAAGCTCGTATCCTAGGCATTTTTCAGCTTGAGCATGCAGGAATTTTAGCCACATCTAACACATCTTTTTGACCTGGTTACATGCATTTTAAAATAGGTCATAAGTCAAAGAATTAGCATTTTGAACGTAGGTCAAGATGTTGCTTTTTGCTAAGGCTCCTTATTTCTAGCCCATCCTGGGGCTTGGATTCTCTGCTGTAAACATAACAGGCACAGGGAGATTATTTGCCAGGCTCTCCTGGAGAGACGTGAGCTTTGCTCACCCCACAGCCTCCATTGTTAGGGTGCAGGAGGGTCGTCCGCTTTGACTGCTCACCAAGTTCTTAGGAATAATCCTCATTTCGGTAATCTTTTGCTTTCACAGTTTACAATAGTCAATCACAGAACTCTGTGAATTACAACTGGCCTCGGCTGGGGTCTAGTTTCTTTAACAGGAGGCCGTATTTCCTTATCAGGGGAATGAGCTGACCTCTGTGTAAATTCAGCTCTTTTAGGACAGAAAGTTGTGTGATTTCAGCCTCCACATTGGGAGGGGAGCTGTGTGATCTTCCACTTCCAAGATTGCTCTTGTAGCACCCTTCTTTCTGTTATAAAAGATCGAACCATTCAGCAGCTGACTTGGCTCCCCCGAGAGCACCTGGGTGCACGTGACCAGCGATGTGCGTGAGCGGGAATGTCTCGGGGAGAAGAAGCGATGGCCTGGGGTTTCTCAGGTGCGGGTCCCTCCAGCACACAGGGTCCACTGGGACTCCAGCAAGCGCCGCCCAGGCCACGGGGATTGCGTGCCTGCCCCAGAGCCTTCCCCAGATCTGTGGTGGTCCCTGCTTGTGCTGAAACGCTGCAGGCTTGTGGGGTGCCCAACAGTGGACAAAATGCTTCTGCACAGACTATCATCTTCGTAAGGAAAAGGGGGAAGAGGTGCTTAGACCCATTTCACGGATGTGAGAACTGAGGAACGGGTGGTTGGACTGCTCAGTGGAGATGCACAGACTATCAACTGCAAGGACAGAGCCCGACTCAGAAGCTTTCCCACGCTTCACGCTTGCTCCTCAAAATCAGGACAAAGCCAGACTCAGAAGCTTTCCCACGCTTCATGCCTGCTCCTCGGTCATTAGTAACATCACCTTTAGGGCGCTGCTTTGTGATTGAGAATTAAGGGTTTACATTTAGTGATGACTACAGCCCTCCACATGCACACACACACACACAATTTATTTTTGTTTCCACACTTGGCCTCGTGCAGTTTCCCTGTGACCCGCACAGGGAGCTGAGCTGGGACCCACCGGCGGTGGCCACCTCCCCGGCACTGTGCCACATCCCTGGTGGAACACTGACACGCCCACTCCTCACAATCAGCTAAATGCATTTTGAACTTGCTCCTCCAGGGACCCAGTTCTACCATTTATATTTTCACATCTGTAAATGGTTTATAAAGTTTGCACTATGGCATTTACAGAAAATATCCTACAAAATACAGCCTATTGGAGT